GCGACCAGCAGCTCGTTCGGTCTGACGAGTCTCATCTCGCAGCGCGCTCACGCGCGCGTGCACAGCAACAAATGTATGGCGCGCTCCGACAGCCGGCGGGCGCGTGCGTGCGAGAGAACTTCATTTCAAACGCAGCTTTGGAAACGCGTCCTGAGGGTCGCCAAGTATTAATCAAGAATTGTGTTTGGGACACACATCCTTAAATTCGATCAGAATAAGGAACTCCAGTTTGCAAGAAGAGCTTTCAACAAAGCTTCAACTCGGAAGACTGAACTTCTAAGCAAATCGCGGATTCAGATGATACAGTCAAGTTGTGATATAGACAAGCTCTATATAAGGTTATCCTCAGATCTGCATGAAGAGTCGTGAGTGTCGAGACTTTGAGATTCATCTTTGGAGGTCGTGCGAGCATCCATTTGGTCGTCATCAATCAAAATATCTTTGGAAGGAGTGAGCTCGCCGCAGGGCACAAGAAGAACCCCATCATATCCGCACATCAGCGATAAGGTCGAACCAAGCGTTTCGGGACGCTGTTCTGGCCCACCTTGCATGTGATCAACGCGCCAGCTTCGAAACCGCCCTCCCACGCTGCGTATCATGACTAGTCTCTCCGGACAAAGTGGAGCTCCTTCGAAGCTCAAGCTTTCGTGGGCTCACCTTCTGCCACCGGCGTGGGAGAAAAGGGTGCAAGATTGGCTCGAGGAGGATTGTCCGAGCTTTGATTGGGGCGGCTATGTGGTCGGGGAAGATGTCAAGCAGGCGAAATTGTGGTGCAAAAGCCGAGGCGTGCTGGCTGGAGTGCCCTTCTTCGATGAGGTATTCAAGAGGCTGGATTGTCAGTGCGTATACAAAGTCCCGATCTCGAGGCTCGGTGCCGTACTTGCCGATGGTTCTCATCAGAGTGTTGCATGCTTGATCTTCCCACCTCAGAGTCGAGTGGAACTTTGAGGAGGGGCAATTACTGGCCGAAGGAGGGAGCCCAAAGGTTCACGTGGCCACAGTCAAGGGCCCAGCACGGAAGATTCTCTTGGGAGAGAGGGTCGCGCTGAATACGTTGGCGAGATGTAGCGGTGTGGCCACTGCGTGAGTGAATGCGTCAGGTGCGCCCGAGCCAAGGTGGAGTGTGCACGTAAGTCTGACTGTCCACGTCTCGCTTAGCTCTCAAGACTTCTTGTCCACAGCTCGGGCAGCCGGCTACAAGGGCATTGTAGCCGGTACTAGGAAGACAACACCAGGTGGGTACCGGCGCACGACGCCACGCGGAGCCGAGCCGCTCATCAAGACTGACCCTCTTCACGACGCAGGCTTCCGGATTGTGGAAAAGTATGGGATGCTTGTTGGAGGCGTCGACGCTCATCGATACGATTTGAGCTCGATGGTCATGCTGAAGGACAATCATATCTGGAGCACAGGTCAGTTCGATACCACGCGGCGATGGATGGAGTATTCCTCCCAAGTTTTGCGCTCCACTGACGCCTGTCCAATTGTTTGGCGCAACCAGGCTCGATCCCTGCCGCAGTAAGCGCTGCTCGATCGGCATGTGGCTTTTCGATGCGTATAGATGTAGAAGTGCAGTCTTTGAAAGAAGCGCAGCAGGCTATCGAAGCTGGTGCTGATGTGGTCATGCTAGACAACATGGTTGGCCAGGAACTAGTCAACAACGCAAAGTCTTTGAAGGAACAATTCGCTCAGAAGCACAGATTTTTGATTGAGAGCAGCGGAGGTATCGATGTGCGAAACATTGGAAGCGGACAGCACGTGGACGATTGTGAGTCGTGAGCGCAGCTCTACGGTCTCCGTGTCGGCGGTCGCCTGACTCGGTCACTCTCGTTGTCTGCATTTTGCACCCTTAGCTATCGACATCATCAGCACGTCTTCGATTCATCAAAGCACGAAGCACGTCGACTTCTCCCTCAAGCTGCTTCCGGCACCAGCAGAAGCCTCCTCGACTGGTGTCTAGTTGTAGAGAAGTCATGGCGATGGAAATTCATAATGCAGATGGATGCGATCATCAAGATCTGGAAATGCTGCGCCTCCTTTGATGTAATTTGAGGACTCAGACCGGATGTAACAGTCGAGTGAAGAGCGCAACAGCACCCGAGTGAGCCAAGAGCTGGGCGGTGTATCTCCGTGATAGAAGGATTACCGCTGCGGTGTCCAAAGTTCGAGTCGCAGTCTCAGTAGAGATTCACGATTGATGAGGCTCGTCAATCACAACCAAACTCAAGAATAGGAGGGTTTTGCTGACTCATCATCGGCGCCGCGACTCGTCTTTGGAAAGTGGGGGTCACGTGTGACGACGTCTCGCGCTGCACAGCTCCCACATCACACATTCTCACATTGTTGATTTCAATTCTTGATTCCTGATTTGATTCACACGTGTGTGTCTGGAGCAGAGAAGTTCGCGCTCACCTCGAGTCAAGGTCGCACATTCACTCATTGCAAGCTCCAGCTAGCAGCCACTTAATTGTGACTATGATGATGAACGAAAAGCCTGGTGAGACTTGTGATTGATGATGATGATCACTTTGATTTTTGATCCACAATTTACGCGCTGAATATATGCTGCATGCGATGCCTCTTCAAAATCGCGAGTCTCACTACAGCGTGATGCGGAAATGGGCGCACGGCGCCCGCCCGCATGAGTAATCACGAATCGTGAATATCTCGAATCTTAAGGCCGACCGACGTGCTACTCGTGACTGTACGCGACGCTGCCGCGCGCAGCACAAGAAGGGCCCTCATCACAAAATCGATCGAGAAGGTCGCTCAAAATTAGCCTTTAAGACTTGGCAGCGCATCATCCCTCGCCTCTGCGTATACTTCATCGAATTCTCGTCCATCCATATATACCCATCCATATAGCACTACTTGCTCGTGCAAGCACCATCCACATCTTCCTTCTGCGCGTGTCCGAGGCCTGTAGAAGCACAGCTTGCCTCTCGGTGCAGCAGCATCTCATCCTGTCCCGTCTAGAGCCCCAGCACCACGTCGACATCCAGCCGAGGCAGGCACTGGCCAGAAGGCAAGTGCCATAGGCATGTGTTAGGATCATACATAGCCCATCAGCGCTGCTTCTTCTCTCAAGACTGTTGTATAGACGGCAGCTTTGTTGGCCTTACCCTGCGCTAGCAGGTGACGTCTGCGCCACTAGCGGCGACTTGCTATCAGGTGGCGTTTGCAAGGATACGACCACGTCGCTCACCTCTCACGACGATCTTTGAACCTCCGTAGTGCGGTGTCAGCTCGTGCGAAACATCATGGAGGTGGAGCACGAGGTGCTTCAAAGCACCGAAGGGTCTGTGGGCGCTGGCACTGGTCGTAGCAATTCGAAGGGTCCGACACTCAGCGGCGGACTTGAGGAAGTGGATGCGCAAGACGCCATGAAACAGCCATTGACGCTCGCAGAAGAAGCCGACTTGTCCCCTAAGCCCCGCGAGATGACGGAAGAGCAGCGTAGGCAAGCTGAGCGGAGGGCCCGTCTAATGAAGAGAGCTGCACCGTCCACCATGCCGGCTGCGCCTGACTTCACCTCATCCGGCAGCACCAGCCTTTCTCCATCCGCAAGCTTGAAGCCATCTCCCAGTCATCCCGACTCCGCCACATCAAATACCCAATCCTTGACCTCGCCGAAGCATCGATTTCCACCAAGTGTTCTTCAGCCTGCCCAGCCGAGCAAGAGACCGAGACTGTCAGACGGCCCTTCAGATACGTCTTCGAACGAGCCCAGACCAGGATTTACGTCTATGAATCCGGCTGCGCGCACCACTTCTACGGTGACTGGCAGCGGAGCTCGTGTGCCGACGCAGCTCGTGTCGAAAAGTGGGCGGACATCCTCCTCACCCTTTGCTGGATCCAATGGCCTGCGCCTGCCAATCATGAACGGCAATCCCAAAGCTGCAAAAGGCACAAGCAGACCAGCAATAGATCTCACAGGTGATGGAAGCGATGACGAGGTGCAGGTCACGGGCAGCAAGAAAGCGGAGCAGGAGGTAGAATTAGACCGACGGAAGACCAACTCGCCAGTATGCCTTGGTGTCCTTAATGGGGTGATCATGTGCATGTACGGTCTGCCAGAATCGCTGCAGTACGAAGGTGACGCACCTCCAGAGAGCGTTCCGCAACATCCTGCATTCCGAAGAGAACATTGGCCCAGCATCTCCCACTTCTGGTCTCAACCTGGCTACAGACCCATTCTGCTCTCATTCAGCAATCGGCGAGGTCCTGAAGCGGGCTCGACTCAGGTGGATCTTGCAGTGAGCACCATCCTTCCGCCCTTGATGGTCAATGCAATCGCTCGTCAGCGAGCTGAGAAGGAGGGCAAGCCACCTCCGCCTCCAGGAAATTCCTCCCAGATGCAACCCGCATTTGGCGCTTTGGCCGAGAAATATCGAAGAGCGCTACTTCCATTGCTCAACCGAGGCGACGTTAGGTGTGAAGCTCGTTGTAAACTTGTCAACAGTGCTCGTGGAGCTGTGAGTGTCTGTAACGTCTTGTGAAGTATCGAGACTCCCTGGCTTTCACAACTGACTGTGCCGTGCCTTCTGCGCAGCTCTTCCTTCACCCCATCGAGATTTTGATCTTCACTGAGCACAGCCGCATGGGTACAGTGACGAGCGGCCTACTGCGCGAGGGCTGCAGCTTGGAGCATCCGGTCATCTACGAAGCTTTGGACTATCCTGACTCTCCGCGTTTGATTGTTCAGCAGCACGCTTTGCCTGCCCCTGCTGCAGTGGGCCAAGGCTCCAATTTCTATCGGCCTGACATGCACCCATCCGTATTCACTGGCGGCTGGGGCGGGCAGGTTGTGCAAACCAAGGAGCAGACAGAAGAGGAGCGCAAACAGCAGGTAGAGACTGTGTATGCGAGCTTGAGAAGTGGAGAAGACTTGGAGGAGGTCGAAGCGAATAGTGTGGTCACTACCGACCTTTTTCCCCATCAAAAGCAAGCTTTGGCTTTCTTACTCGATCGTGAGAAGGAACGCTCATTCGATGTATCAGAACGGAACGGCAAATCTGACGGCGCGCCCAATCAAGAAGAAGAGCCGATCTCGCTATGGAGACCCAAAAGGCGGCCGGGAAGCGGCAAGATTGTCTCGTACACTAATGTGGTCACGAACGGTGAAACGAGTAGGCCGCCGGAAATATGTCGCGGAGCTATCCTTGCGGACGACATGGGCCTGGGCAAAACAATCACCACAATTGCCTTGATTGCCAACAGCTGGAACGAAGCTAAGGCCTTTGGCAAATCCAAATTGGTCGAGCTCAACGGCAAAGGTGGCGACTCTGCGGTTGCTGCCAAGAATGGCCATAACCAGGCAACTGATGATGGAGAAGAAGGATTTGCCAGTGGTTTGCCAGGCGCGCCCGCTGCCAAGACTGCCTCGAGCCGCAAAGGCAAAGACCCTGCAAACAGCAAATCACAAGCCAAGAAGGATGAAGCTGAGCTTGCCCGCCAGAGCAACTTGCGCACTCGCAGCAGAGCCACCTTGATTGTGTTGCCGCTGACCTTGGTGTCTAGCTGGGTGAGCATAAGCGTGCTGTGGACCGAGATGTTGTGCGAAGGCTTACGCTGCTGAGCCTTCTCCTGCGTGTAGGAAGAGCAGATCAAAGAGCACTGGCATAACAAGTACCTGCCAAAGCGATTGATCTATCATGGGCAAAAGAGGAGTCAAGATCCGATCTGGATTGCGAATCACGACATTGTTTTCACCACCTATCCCACCCTAGCCAACGAGTTCTCGCGGCAAAAGGTGTGGGTGTCTGATGTCGACGGCGGGGAGGATACGCAAGATGATGCGGAAGGCAGCGATGATGATATCGTGCCATTGGACAGCAATGGTGTGCCTCAGTACCGCTCAAAGAGTTCCAAGAAAGGTGCGAAGAGGCGCAAGTCCGGACCAATGGTTGAGTCCAAGAACCCGTTGCAGCGGATTGAGTGGTTCCGAATCGTCCTCGACGAGGCTCAGTGAGTGCAGTCCGGCGCTGCTGCGTCTAGGCAGTTGCGAGAGCTAATCATTTGCCAATTCATTCAAAGTACGATCAAAGAAGCCCGCACTTGGCAGAGCAAGGCGGTTTGCAATCTTTCCGCACAAAGGCGACTTTGCTTGACTGGAACGCCGGTTCAAAACCGAATGGACGATCTCTACTCGCTCATCAAGTTTCTTCGACTCGAGCCTTTGAATGATCGGGCGATCTGGAATGAGTTCTGTGGATCCAAGGAGAACAAAGGCAGCTTGCGCGCTGCAGGCAAGGACCAAAACAATGGTCCGCTGGACAGCACAGCGCTGCGACGAGTCCAGACCATCATGAAGTTTTTGACCCTGAGACGTTCCAAGGATGGCAAGCGCAAGGACGGCTCGCGCTTGCTCAACCTGCCGCCGAAGTACAACCGGACCATGCTGCTGCAATTCACGGAACACGAGCGTGCCGTCTACACGGATATGCATCAAAGCTTCAAGGAAGAGATAGAAGCGTTGAAGAAGACGGACTCCGTCAAGCACAATTATGCTACGATCTTGCACGAAGTGAGTTTGGTTGAGTGCTGCTGCACGTGACACTCTCAGAATGGTTGAGCTGACCGCTTCACATCCGCTTAGATCTCCAATTTGCGCATGTCTTGCGATCATTTTGCTCTCGTCGATGACAGCAAGGACAGCAAGCGCAAGAAGGACGGTTCAGGCCGATACGGCGTAGTCGATGCCATCAAAAAGGATGGCTTGACCCGCCAGCGCGCCTTGGAGCTGTTCAAGCTCTTCGCCGACGAGGAACATGCGTTGTGCAGCACATGCGCAATCGATCTCACACACATAGACACCGAGACTGGCAAAATTTCCTCATCTCCAGTTGTGACGAAGTGCCAACATCTTCTCTGCACGCCTTGTTTCCGCCACAAGGCTGGTTCGAGTTGGCCAAAGGGAGCAAAGGCGGACCAGAAGGTCGCGTGCCCCGCGTGCGATGTTGTTCTGGCGCCACTTACCGAATGCTTGCAGCTCGCACCTGCTGAGATCCAAGAAGATCCAGATGAACCAATTCAAGAGGACGAAATGGATTCCGTCTCCTCTACTGGAGGCTTCTACGACGGTTCATCCACCGGCAGAAGCTCTACTAGGCGCAAGCCCGTTTTTGGAGCCGATGCAGGCAAGCCTGTTCTGGAACGTCCTGATCTGAGCACCAAGATACAGGCTCTTCTTAGCGACCTGATCCCCTTTTCGAAATGCAACCCCGCGTCGTTCCTTTATGACGAAGATGCGTTTCTGCTAGATCATCAGGCGACGCCGTCTGCAGACAAAGAACGTAAAGAGGAAACAAAGACGAGCAAAGAGCCTGTCGTGGTGGTTCAGCATCCTCCTCTCAAGGCTGGTGGCCCGGCCAACATCCTACCCATCAAGAGTGTCGTCTTCAGTCAGTGGACCAAGATGCTTGATCGCGTTGCCAATGCGCTGGAGCGCGCTGGCATACGCGCAGCGCGACTGGACGGATCGATGCCGCGAGACCGACGAGCCGAAGAAATCACGCGCTTCAAGGAGGATCCTAGTGTGGAGGTCTTCCTGGTCAGTCTCAAAGTCGGAGGGACTGGACTGAACCTGGTCCAGGCATGCCGAGCATACATTCTCGAACCGTATTGGAATCCAGCAGCTGAGAATCAAGGATTGGATAGAGTTCATAGAATGGGTCAAGTGAGACCCGTCATCACCACAAAATATGTGGTAGCGAAGAGCATAGAAGAGCGCATGCTTGCGGTCCAGAAGCACAAAATGGAGCTTGCTAGGTCTGTCGGAGATCACGGCGAGCGCAGACGGGCAGGTGGAGACCTTGCCATGCTTCTCGACGAGATGGCCAAGTCTTGAGCTTCAAAGTCACGACTTACGGTCCAGATTCTCAAATCGTGGCAAAGGGACCTCGAAGAGCGCCCTCGTCACTATTCTTGCAAAGCTCATGACCTTGCAATTGGATTCCGTGTTGTACAATCACTCTCCACCAACAATACAATACATCTTCACAAATGCGCGTTTGCGCGAGTGGGAGTGCATGGCTATCGAGGCTCCGGACAGATGCGGATTGGGTAGCACAGCATGTCTCTCACGTTCGGAGCAACAGGCCGTAGAGAGAGAGATGAAGAGCGCCGAAAAGCCTCACAGCCTCCAGCACAAATCATCTCGCGACCAGTCGCTTTGATCATGTGAGAAGTACAATGTTCGGGGATCTTCGTAGGCTCAGATTTGCTACCGTTCTCGTCGTGCCCTCTTGCGCTCGAACCCCGGAGCACTGCTCTAGGGCAAGCAATCGTGTGGGAGGGGCAAAGAGGGCAGACGACCAGGCGCGACCGTTGTTGTGCTTTGAACGGAGAGCTCTGTTCTTTGACCCCGGAATGCGGACATTCTGCAATCACATCGTCCGCTGGCATCTGGCACCTCCAAATATGAGACGGTGCGCAACGGAACAGGCCGTCATCGGGCCCGAGTTGCAAATACGTCTTCGCTCAGATACACGCTATGGACAAGTGTGCACGACTCACGGCTTCAATGACCATCGAAAGGGTCTCACCATTCATCTATTCGTTTGCTCTCCTTGGCCAGTCGTGGCCTCGAAGTGCGGGTTTGTCACTACCACTGCCCTCTTTCCGCGTATCCTGCTGGCTTAGACTGGTCATGTTGGTGGCCGACTTTTTTGCCTGAGAGGCCAGTCCTCTGGCTCTAAGCGCCGCAAGTCCCCCAAACTTCCTTGGCTCGTCAAGCGCGAGCTTTGCATCGTCGGTGCTCGCGAGCTTAGATGCGCCGGACGGTCGTACGATGCCGCCACTTCTAGCAACCCCAGGCTCCAAAGGTTGTACTCCCGTCTCTGCTGCCACTAGCAAGTCTGGAGTGCCGATGCTAGCATCGCGTCCTTCTGATTCAGAAAGCGATACTCGTGCTACGTGCCGATGCAAGCCTTGGTGTGCATCTTCGATATCTGCCGTTCCAGCTGGCGGACGTAGAGCACTCGACGCGTTCTGGTTCGGACCGCCGATTGAATGGCTCGTCGCTTTCTGATCATTGCCGCCGGTCGCACCTACTGGAGCCTTTGTCCTCCTCTCCCCAACTCCACCTCCAACATCCAGATGCAACAGCCCTATTCCCAGCCCACGCTTCCTAGCTCTGTATCCCAGCTCATCCGGTTGCTCATAGGGGCTGACAAAGGCATTGCTAGGAGAAGCGTTGCATATCCGTAAAGCTCCAGTATGGGCAGGAAATGCATCTGAGAGCTGGGAAGAGGTGCCGAATGAAGAGATGCAGAGAGAGATATTGCCCAGAGAGGTAAGCCGTGAGAGCCACCCTGGAGTCATCTCGCGCGACAGCAGGGAAGCGACGCTCAGCAGAGCAGTAGCATGGATGAGCGCGGATTTGAAAGATGCCGCAAGTCTTCGCACGGAGAGCATCAGTTGGAGGATGGCATGAGGAGATGGACTCCAGGCTGAGCTGCCCAAGTTGAGCAAAATGACTCGGAAACGCCGCCCTGGATCACTGTTGTGGAGGTCATTCAGCCGCGCGCACCGTCGGGACGATGGATGAGAAGTCCAGGTTACTTACGCTTCGATTGCTGCGCGCATCCAAGCTAAGGCTCGCGACTCGACAGTCTCTGCGTGTGGCCTTGCTCCACTTTCGTCACCTGCAGCTGGGCAGTCCAGCTGATCGAACAGCATCAGCTTGCGCTCTTCAGCACGCTCGAGCTGCTCAACTCTAGCGTGGCCCAACGTCTTCGTCAGATCAAAAGCTGCGTCTCCAGAAGAGGTAGCGAATGACATTCCTGGCACACCTTCCGTGGTAGGCTTTGGTGCAATCCCAGCATATCTGGAAGCGCTGCCCAGGTCTCTCTGCGGCTGTGTAGGTGAAGGCGCTGCATTTTGAGATTGGAGTCTAGGAGCAGAAGCACTTGGCGAGGCTGTTTCGGTCAGGTCTACCGGTATTCGTTCCGCCCATTGTCTCGCGCCAGGACCGAGAATGAGAACCGTTCCCTCTTTCACTCCTTGCGCAGCAGACAGCCGAGCAAAGCTTTCAGCGTACACATAAGCCTCGTCGGCATTTGCCTGCTGCTGCGCCATTTCCTCAGCCGGCAGGTTGTGAAGAGGACGCACGTGGCCGAGATCTATTCCTGGAATCCATTGTGTCAGAGAGCCGGTCTGCTGAATGTATCGATCAAGAATCGCGTGGCCCGAGTTGGTGGGGCCTATAAACTTGCTACTCGCTATGAGCACGGATGCAGCTGTCGTGCCATTGCACTGTGGCGGTGATTGGTGGGACTTAGTAGATCCAACATCCTCATACTTGGCACTTTCATCGTTGCTTGCATCTGCCAATAGTGTGTTGACCACACGCTGGGCAGGCGCACGCCTCTTGAAAGCCGACGGCATCACAATTGTGCCAAATTGTGCCGCACGTTTTGGGTGTTTTGGCAAGCGCCCTGTGCGAGGCGAAGAGTCTCTCACCAGACTCGGCAAGCCTTGACAGCTTCAACAACAGCCTTCAGCCTCTCTCCCTCTCTTCTCTCGAGCTCAGCTTCAGAGGTCGAGTCCTCCTGCTCGGTTGCAGAGCGTAGATCACTCAAAGCCAGACCTAGCACCAGCGGACGAGCGTCTCCTTGCTTGTAGAGCGCAGCAGCCAAAGTGGAGAGGTAAAGACCGTACAGAGCTTCCTCTTCTTCGTCCCTAGTGCTACCGAAGAGGATCTTCTGAGTTGTGCCGCTCAACGGGGTAGGGAACTCCTCGAGTGAGTGTGTGGAGGCAGAAGTAGCGAGGTCTTCTTTCCGCTCAAAGCCGAGCTCGTAGGACGTGCCCTGACCTAACGGCAGTGCGCTTTCTGGAGAAGACGTCGTTGCTTGCACCTGTATTGCGAGGATTGCGCAAACGCGAGGAACGTGTGGTCAGAATGCAGCACGCATATAGCTACTAAAGACCCGACAATGGCGGAGAACTTACAAAATAGCCCACTGTGCCAGGTCTTTGGGTGACGACGACCAGTGTCCGGTCTTCGAATGCTTGGGCCAGAATTTCGGTTTTGCAACCCTGAATATCCACGGTTGAGGTGCAAGTGGGTAAGCTGTCCAGCGGTGGCGCATTTGACAGGTTCGAGTGATTGAGCCCAACACTAGTGCAGATTCTTGTCCATCGAGGCTGTGTTGCGATTGCAGTATTTGAAGATTCACTTTGGGAGAGTGAGGGGGACATCACGAGTCGTCGAGGAAGCAGGCTATTGTCGTGTCGGCACTCGGTACCCGAAATTCATTGAGATGGTATCGGGCACGCGCTCTCCTTGGACTCCTTCCCGAGAGTTGACGCTGAGTGTGGGGACCAAGGCGGTGGGGATGGCGGTCGAGCAAAGGAGTGCTCGTCACGCTGATGGGAAGCTTATGGACGATGTCTTTTTTGGTTGAAATTTCTCGCGCGAGAGAGCACCACCTACAGCCGCGGGAGCGTGACCGAATGCGGCGAGGGAGGCGCCACTCGTGACTCACGACTTTGACTCGATCGGAGCCATGCAACGCTGCTGGGCCGCATTGGCGCGCATGCAGCCACACTACCATGCATAGTCACCACTGAATACTCGCCCGCGCGCATGCTGCCGTACCCGCGTATCTCAGCTAGGAACGTGAGGGTGCAACTCGCAGTTAGCGATACAGTGACACACACTCACGACCCAGAAGACTCACAGCCACCCAGAGACCAAACATCATGCTGTGAAAGTGATTGCGAGCGCGAGCGACATTCAAGCAGCCGGTCCTGCTACCATACCTGCATCGTAACACCCAACAAGCCTCCACTGGCTGAAACAAAAAGGGAACATCTTGCGAGCGCAGGCCCACCGTCGACCGCAACACACCTGTCTGTCCAGCTCAAGTGTTCAACTCCCCCTTCCGTCTACCACCAGACGGCCTCATCCTCATACTTGCGAAGCTCTCGACAGAGAGTCTTGAGCTGGAATATGCTCATCTGATCGCTGCCATCGTCATTGAATCCAAAAGGCAGTCCAACATCTCCACTACCATGACACTGAACGGGGTTGCGCAGGCGGATGATGGGCATCGACCTTGGTACCCTGAGCAATCGTCAGGTGACTATGATCAGGCGCAGCGAGGTATTTCGACCCAACGCTACTCGCATGAATCATACCGATCAGATACGAGCTTGGTCGGTCCGGGAGGCGATGGATCAGGTTCCAGACGGCGTATCAAAGTACCCGATCTGTCCACAGATGCAGCAGGCGCCAGTCCATTGTCCAAATTAGGCATACAAGGCGACGCACTGATGATGTTCGTGACGTGTTTCAGCGCCATGGGAGTCCTTCTGATGGGCTACGATCAAGGCGTCATGTCCGGCATCATAACTGGACCCTACTTCAAGACTTATTTCAACCACCCAACCTCTTACGAAATTGGAACGATGGTGGCCATTTTGGAAATCGGTGCTTTCATCACCTCTTTGGCTTGTGGAACTTTAGCGGACGTGCTGGGAAGGAAAAAGCTGATCTTTTGGGGCGCGCTGATCTTCTCTATTGGGGGCGCAATTCAGACATTCACCGTCGGGTTCAAGAGCATGGTGCTAGGAAGGATCATTGCTGGGTTCGGCGTAGGCGCGCTGACGTGAGTGCCGAAGTTGGCTTGCCCTTTCCAGCGAGGGCTCTGGAAAAGCACTTGACCATTCATCGCACAAGACCCGCATTTATGCTGACACTTGCATGAGTGTATGCTTTCCCCTACAGCATGGTCGTGCCGACTTATCAATCCGAAGTGTCCCCAGCGGAGAACAGAGGCAAATTGGTGCGCCATCTAGCTTCATGTGTATGCTCATCTCGGCACTGCTTGGCATTTCTTGACTCATGTCAATCTTTGTTTTTTCGCAACGACACAGGCTTGCATAGAATTTACTTGCAACATCATAGGCTACTGTCTCTCCGTCTGGATCGACTACTTTTGCTCCTTCTTGACTGGGGACATTTCCTGGCGGGCACCACTCTTCTTTCAAGTCGCAGTCGGTCTCATCCTAGCCTTTGGATCATTGACCCTGCCCGAAAGCCCTCGATGGCTGTTGGATCGGGACAGAGACGTGCAAGGAATGAGAGTGCTGGCTGATCTGCACGGCAATGGCAATCCCAAAGCTAGCAGAGCCAGACTAGAGTACCGAGAGATCAAAGAGAATGTGTGCGTATCGGTGTACGCCGCTACGAACCGAAGCGTTTCTGAGTCACTTTGACACTGCTGATGACCTGAAACACGCCGTGTGATAGCCTGTTCCTGCGTGAGCAAGGGGATCGCAGCTATAAGGCAATGTGGAGGCGGTATAAGTGAGTCCTGGAACTTCGAAGGCTTACACTGTCGTTCAGCTGATTTGCCTCACAACAAACCGCTGACTTGCACTCACTGTCTGGGGCATTGCTCAGGCGCCGGACCCTTATTGGCTGCTCGGCTCAGGCCTGCGCTCAGCTCAACGGCATCAACGTAGTCTCATACTACGCCCCTCTCGTATTTGAATCCGCAGGATGGGTAGGCAGGGATGCGATCCTGATGACAGGCATCAACGGAATCATCTATGTCTGCTGTACCATTCCAACATGGTTTTTGATCGACCGGGTCGGCAGGCGTCCCATTCTCATGTTCGGATCCATCATTTGCGGTCTGGCGCTTTGCGCCTGCGGCTACTTCCTATGGCAGGATGCGAACTACACGCCGACGGCAGTGGTTGCTTGCATCATCATCTTCAATGGCGTCTTCGGATCTGGCTGGGGACCCATCCCTTGGATGCTCAGCTCCGAGATCATGCCTTTGGCCTTCAGAGCCAAAGCAGCCTCCTTGTCAACGGCGACTAATTGGGCTTTCAACTACGTCGTAGGAGAAGCTACACCTATTCTTCAAGAAACGATCAAGTGGAAATTGTATCCCATGCATGGTTTCCTATGTTTCGCTAGCTTTTTCCTTGTCTTCTTCACTTATCCGGAGACGATGGGCGTGCCTTTGGAAGAGATGGACGCGCTCTTCAATGACGAGCCGAGCGGCGTGCCTCAAGACGACGATGATGATGCTGAGGACGAACCTGCTCGTACTTCCGTGGCAGGCGAAGAAGCTCGAAGAGGCTCTGGGCATCTGCCAGAGAGACAAGTCCGCAGGAGTATCAGCTCTCACAGACGCTTCACTAGTGGAGATGATGAAGAGTCTGTCGCAAGAGCTGCAGCTCAGCGTGTCCAATCGATGAGGACGACGAACAAGAATGAAGAGAGCGCAAGAGGGACGAATGGTGCGCCTTTACCAAATTGGGTTCGAAAGATTTGGAACTCGTCAACAGGTGAACAGCAGTACGCTCCGGTCAGGAGCGAAGAGGATCAATAGGTGCGTGAAGAGATCGCAGATCGCTGTGTTTCCACCCCTCAAGTAGACCCGCTGACCTGAACGCGACTCCTATTGTCTCCGACATCAGGATGTCGGCGGCTTGCCTTCCCAGTCTTTGCGCATGGAGTCCCTGCGCTAGCTTGATCGCGTCAGCAACGAGCTGCCTGCTCTGCATGTTGTCCACTGCCAGTCGTTGGTCGCAGAGGGTCGCTTTTCGCTGCGAGTTTTCCAAAGAGCACTTTTGCCTTGCGCGTCTTGCTGGCAAAGTGACGTGACGTGCAAAGAAAGAGACCGGATGGATGGAGAGCAGGTCGCCTATTCCTTTCGAACGCAATCGCACCCAAAGTCTCTCTTG